GGCCTTGGTGATGCGATCCCACTCTTCTTGACTGAGACGCACAAACAGTCTCAAGCAACTCACCTTGCTGGAGAGGAGTCAAGGAGAGAAGATGAGGGTTTTCAATATTGTAGTAAGGGGCAACGACAGTCGCATGTTTAAGGGGTCAACTTACGTGAAGGGAGCTACTTCCGCTGTCAAGGCTTTGGGGGTCGTAACACACAGAAGTGCCTTCAATTCTTTGTCATCTCCAGTTCCAGAATCGACTCCCTTAGCCTTCACCCCTGCTGGGCATGTGAAGTATGCGCAGTCCACTTTGGGGTTCTCTTGAGGGTTGAACAGAGATATAAATGACACATTTTTGGCTGACTTGTAAACATCTGTACTTTTATCGTAAGTAGGAGGCAAACCGTCGAAGTTAGTGAAGGCTTCTTTCCAGTGATCCACTGCGGCCTGGCAGTCAGCGTCGGTTCCTTCTTGCACTGCGTAGGCGTAGGTACCGTCTGGTTTAATATCCACTTCAGTCGCCGTGTTCTGTTCAAGTTGCACAAACCATCCAACCTTTAGTAATGGGCTGTGTTCGTTCCATCAGGTGTTGGCGCATAGTTAGCCTGTGCTGAAATTGTCCCTTGAGTCGACGTGTTCGTGTTGCGGTCCTTTGGTGTGCATCACAGCAACGGGCGGCGTGAACTTTGGTGTGTGTGTGTATGTACATGCATATGCATATCTACGTATATTAGTTTATGCATCAGGGTGTGTTTTTTAGTATTTCAGCCGATTTCGGGACCGAGGGATTCCTGTGGCTTGATTGCGAAGCCGTACTTGTTTCATAGCTTTGCAAACGGCCGTCAGGTACTCTGTGTTTGGGTCGGTACTCCCAGACCGACCTTCGGTATTTGATGAATAAATAGGGAGCTGTTCAGGAGGATCAGCACTATCTGCCGCTGCTTGGAATCCAGTAAAGCCCGCAAGGCTCCGCGCTGCGTTCATCTGGGACGAGCAATCTACCCGTACTGCAACCGCACGCTCGACAACGTCACCCTCTAATCCCTTTAGTTTTTTTTCTCGCATTAAGACCAAACACATTTGTAATTCTGATTCTTAAGGGCTCACCTGCCTTGTTTGTAGCAGCGTTTTCTTGTTCCTGCCCGTCGGCCCTAGCCAAGAGGACGGCGGCCGCCGCCAAAGAGAGGAGCCTGACAACACCCATCCTCGAGACACAGTGAAAATATAGATTTTCAGTATCTAAAATACCACCGAAATGAGGCAAAGGCTCAGGAAGCGCGGCTAACTCCTTGGGGGAAAGTTTGCTTAGAGGCAGGAGCGGTTCGGCTCCACTGGTCGCGGCCTCGGGGCTCCCCTGCAGGTAAGCGCAGAAGCCGCGATTAATGGTGTGTATTAAGGATATATAACAGTCCTTTCTTCAGGCAGGTATAATCTTCTTGAGAGGATTTAGTACACGTTCATGTGAGAAAAGCCGTACCAATATGTTCCCGTGGCCGTTTGCGTTTCTCTGACAGAAGCCTACGATACCTTAGGTTCCGTATAGGTGTTGAAGCAATCTTCAAGTGGCCAGCTGAACGCATTTTACCCCAAA